AAAAGAGGAGCGAACACTGGAATTGTTTGCCCATCGCTGTCTGAGGATCAGGCTTCGAGTGAGATATACCGACTTCATCTGTGATAGTATCGCCAAGATATTTTAGACCATCTAAGAAAGACGACTGAAATGGCTTATGGCACCTTCTCCCTCGTCCACCTCTCGTATTTTGCTACGCTGCCCTCGATTTGGCACCGCAACTCACCTACAGCTATCTAAGAGATGGGCGATTCAAGAATTGGCTCGACACCATTCGTCAGGACATGGAAACGGTTGTTGCACCTTTGATTTTCAATCTCCATCGCTGGATAAGAGAATGAGTGTAGTTTTCCAGATCCGCTGTCGCCAATCATCACGCATGGGGAGGTATCGGTCACGACATCATTGAGGTGGGCTACATCAGGCATGATTACAATCGTATCAAGTACAAGTACTGAAGGAAACGCTGAACGTTCTTTCAGTTGTTTACCGGAGTTGCGCTGTGCTACAACCGCGTGTATTCGGTATTTCACTGAGATGGGCACCATAATTGGCCGGGAGATAATACTGAGTTGCGAATTAGTTGGCTGACTGAGAGGAAGACTTTTGGAGCCCCTGCAGGGTATGCAGCCAATAGTTTTTTTCGTGCGAAAATGCACATGGTTGCTAATAGAAGCGAACAGGCGAGTTCCGGGAGGGAAGAAGAACCTGCGATCGCTGCAGCAGGAAGGCTATTGGTCTGATATTTCGGATTCTCATTCAAACTCATCATCAGTTACAAGTGCGGATAAGCATGACAGAGGCACAATATGCACCGCATTTATAGTCTGTAGTGGCCATGCGACCACATGCGCGCTACAATTAGCAGCTTCTGCGATCATTGCTGGGGGGTTGTGGCTGCTACGATACGGGTTTGGTAGTCCGAGTCCGAGTCTTTTATTGCCATGATTTCATTAACTGTGCTGGATGTCGGCGAGAATCCGAAACGTCAGACAAATAAACTCATTGATCCAGCCATTTACATGAGGTGTTTCAACTCTAAGTGCAACACTCAGCCTCTCGCGGTTACTAGTTAGTGCGCACGCACCAATGTTCGCCAACTCCAGTCCGTTCTGGCAAAACACCGGCAAGACAGACTCACACATGAATTCTTACATTTCGTACGCCGCCCTCTGGACAGGTGATGCGCGCTCGTCCGGTTGCCAACTTCCTCCTTCCTACTCTCCACTACCTCTTCAAATTTGCAACAGGAAAAATATTCTTTACATTAGGTTAGTTTAGTTTATCTTAGTTTAGTTAGTTAAGCTTAGTTTTTATTAGTCACACGTGGTTGCTTTTCGACTTAAAATGCGAAAAAGCCTATTTTCCATGGTTTTATTTAAGTGTCGAAAATTCGCGGTTCTTTGCGCAGTTCCTAAATTTGCGATGTTCTTTTTTTGTATTGGTTGTATGTCTAATTCTAACTATCGCTCTCTTTGT